TCAATAGTAAATAAGTGAATGAGTATAAACTATTGTTTTAATGATGATGAACAATGTTCTTGTTATAAAAAAATATGTCACTTCAATAGATACCATAATAATATACAAACAAACAAAGCGGGATGTTGGTTGTTAAAATACTCCCTTTTTTTAATTGTTAAATAACTTAGTTCAATTTAATTTTATCAAAATGGGGGTTAGTGGAGATTGTAATAGTTTTAATAGTTGAGTTCATGAGTCGATTTAAGCTAGAGCACGATTGAAAACTGAGAAGCACTGAATGACTATTTCATCCTAGTATGGGATTCCTCAGTAGTAAACATTTATGGTCTCCACAAACCCCCATTCCTATGATAATAACAATCATTTTCTCACTATTGATTGACTTTCAGATGGATTTCATGGAGTTCTAATGAAAAGTCATGAGTAGTGAAGTCTAATCTATGTCGGATAGAGACAGTTACCAACCTTAGACAATCGATTGATGTTTTCGCGAGATCATAAATCTATTGAAGTTAGACACAAACACCGTTGGATGCCTGCCGGCCCAGTGGTCTGAACATTGAGCGTTCGCGCTCGAGATTGAAGATCCTAGTTTTGAGCCTCATGTGCCGGATCGTGGATGCGCATTTCTGAGGAGTCTCATACTAGGACGAAACACCCATCTAGTTCTGTCAGGTTTTCAATGGTGATATAGCTTAGATCGACTCATTAATTCAACTATTAAAATTTTATTTCAACAATCAAGTTAAATAATACCGATAATTTGGTTTGTGTGCTCTTTAAATGTATAGTTATGTCTTTTTGAAAAGCTGCAATTGTTATATTTGAAAGTACTAAATTCCAAAACTTCTCAAGTGAAGCATCAAAGACTTGTCGGTAGATGAGTTCTTGAGGTTTCTGATGAAAAGTGGTAAGTAGTAGGAACTTTGATCATATGCAAATAGCTTCAATAAATTGTGAATTGACTAGCGTTTGCGATCAGTACTATTGAATTCTAACTTAGCATTCCAAAAGACACACTCTTACAACGAGCATTGAAGTGTTCCGGCTTTTGGTTGATTAGATATCCCGTGACTTATTCGCCAATCAGAATGCGACTTAGACAATCTTAGCCCTGTGTCGAACCAATCACATGTTGACCGGTACAATCTACCTAGAGTCCTTATTAACCCTTTTTGCTTAGCCCTGCCTGTTGAGTCCAGAACACCGATATCAACTTCCACTATATGTATCATATATTTTAGACATACTTGGTTTATATACAACCAAACTAGACTACATCATACCATAAAATGAAAATGAATAATTATAAAGGATCAAGCCAAAAGTTGTTATGAGTATGGGAATTTGTAACTAATAGATTTTGAATAGCCCGAGAATAACAACTTGTGTGATCGTAGTGAATAGGTCAAATAAATGCTTATGATAAAAGGATTATAAATATATACACATAATCTAGTTACGTAACAGTTATGCAATAAGAATATATATGATAATAGTCCATAAATAGTTCTCAGAATCTGATATACGCTAGGATATAACATGAAGGTTTTGAATTATCAGTTGAATAATCTTCAACAAAACTATTATATCAGTATGGGGTTTTGGAGATTATTAAGTCTTTGATTGAGATCATGAATCGATTGATGTTAGACCACCAATGAAAACCTGGAAGTACTGGACGGCCGTTTCGTCCTACTAGCTACATTAGAATTTACGCATATAAACAAAATCTCTATAGTCCCATAATGACTAGCTTTGTGAGGGATTTCTCAGAGTTCTAATGAAAAGCTGTGACCAGTAGAGTTAAGCCGTGTTGGGTAGAAATAAGTACCTGCTTCAGTGCAATGGAAGATGGTTACACAATTTCGTGAACCGGTTGTGGTTACATATTAATACCGTTGGATGCCGGCTCAGTGATCTAATGGGTTAAGCATTCGCGTGTGAGACTGAAGGTCTTAGATTTGAATCTTGCAAACGGAATTGTGGATGTACAATGCCAAGGAGTCCCACAAAAGGATGAAATAGCTGTCTAGTGCTTCCAAGTTTTTCAATGATGATCTAACATCAATCGGTTCATGATTTCAATCAAAAACTAATATACATTGAAACTAATTCAATTTGATTATTGTAAATACACTTGATGGATTACTTCAATATCATATTACTAATGTATTTGAATCAAATCAAATCAATTACTATTGTGAATGTAATTGTTCCATAATTTTCATTTTTATTAAAATGTATATTTGTATATTAATATTGAAGTATATTCCACTGATTAAATTGTTGTTTATCAGATTACTCGTTTTTGTTATTATTTTAGTAACTATGGTAAAGTATAAGAATAAAATTGAAATTATTTTAAACAAAAATTATATGTGATTTTATGTATTTCAGTAGAATGTGTTTTTTTTTCAGATATCTTTAACATTGAACAAAATGAATAATGTAACAGATAGATAGATAGATAACCCTAATGGGTTGGTGTCTGATGTAATCTCTGCACGGATTTAGAAAGCTCGTTTGACTTTTGCCAACTTACATCACCTATGACGAAGGCTAGCTATTGGTCTATCAATTAAGGGACGATTATACTGTGCAGCGGTTTACGGCTGCAAAACGTGGCCATTAAGAGTAGAAGGTACTGGAGAAGATACTCGTAAACTAATAGTATTTGACCACAGATGTCTTAGAAATATTGCTGGCATCTGCTGGGATCATTGGGTGAGTAATAGTGAGGTTAGATGCAGAGTATTAGGGAATGATGGCAAATCAGTTGACGAGGTTGTGAATCATCATCGACAGAGATGTTTGTGTGACGTGTTACGTCTGCCTGAACAGCCAGTGCCACGACGCGCTATGCTGATCAGTGTTGGAGATAGTTGGAAGAAAGTTAGGTACCTCGTCCCACATTGTAACTGACTGTTTAAGATCTTAATCTATCGAAAAGTAAAGGATCAATAATGTTTATATTTTTGTTCATATTTCATGTATTTGTCAAAGTCATCTGATTAGTTCAACGTATTTATCAATGGAACAATGATGATCTATTCATTCATCTTTTAACCAATAAGGTATTACAGGCTTGAATGACACTATCAATATATGTATATATATGATTGTTATAACCCAGTGAAGATTAAGTTATAGGTAACTTCCGAAGACTGTTAATAGACTAATATTCTATAAATATTCTTATTGTGTAATTATTCAACAATTACATTACGTATATTTATATTCCTCTTATTATAAGCTTTATTTTGACCCATAATTTATTATTATCCGATTTACGGTTCTTAATCTATGTTCAGTCTATTAACTATTATCTCCCTCGTTCACAGCCACTTTTTTGGCTTATTTGTGTACACATGTTATTTTCTAATTTATGGTGTGTTGTGGTCTGTCTGATTGATATATAAACCGAGTATGTCTGAAATAAACGATCTGCTCTGATTCGAAGCTGGTATTGTGTTCTGGACTCAAGTGGAAGGGCTCGGAAGACATAGGACCAATAAAGACGCTAAACTGCCCACACCGGTTGAACGTCATTGGTTGGCCTAGTGTGAAGATTCGTATAAGTCGTATCCGGATTGGTAGATAGGTCGCGTGATAGCAAACCCAGACATACCAAGGTCATAACAATGATAGTTTAGGATTATTGAAATAGATTATTCACAGGGTCTTTATATTTTACACTTAGTGTAGGATTTAATCATTAGTTGTGCCAAAAATAAATAATCGTTGTAAACACACCAATTTATTATCATTCTTTTTTTTATTTAAACACATAAATACTGGTACAAGAGAGCACCAGATACATATGCGCCACACAAATTTCATTTGATTTGTGTGAGAGCTATGATACTGCTCATGTGCCCAGATCGAATCAGGTAGTTTTCTCAAGGGGCCACACCTGGAGCCTTTGACCGAAAGGTGGAGCATCGTAAGAAGATGCAGTCCTATGATAGCCGGTGACCAATGATTGGTTCATACGCCATTTGTTAGCATTTGCACTATTGGTTTGGAATCAGGGTTTTACCATTCCCCTAAATGGACTCTGCATGACCACCAACCCGGTTAAAGCGCCAGGCATTCGCTTTTCGTCCTCTCAATTTCGTAAACAACACACCAGACACAAGAAGGCAGTGAGTAGGACTTCCCTGGCAGAGGCTATATACGTGTGGCCATATGAGAGCATTTCAAGAGGGTGAGTAGACTCTCCCCACTCTCGGCCATACCAGGGCATTTGGGGGCAACCCACCAATGTTGTAATATATGTGTAGTCTCCGATGATTATCATTAAAATGAATGCTTTAAATATTGCCTACTCATAAGTCTACTTCGGTTTGATTATTTTTTGCAAAAACCGTGACAAAATGACTAGGTATTGTTTACTTATATCTTTCTATTGATGGTTAGGACAACAACTGATTAATCACATTGTTAGCATATGTGCATCCTTGATATTGTCTTCATTCACAAGTATTATAAGCAAAGATGAATAGCGAATAGTAGTTGAATGTAGGACGTGAGTTTTGTCCTATTTGAGACTAATCGGTTGGATGTACCT